AACAAACAAGCCAACACTGTTCTATTCTCAATATTTTTTCTCAACTCCCTCAAGAGTTCAAAATTGTAGAAAAATCAAGTAAAATTTTTGCCTTCATATCAAAAGAAATCACAACTTTATCCGTCAAATCCGAAAACGCAATAATGCGTCGGTTTTTCCTTATGCGTTGCGTTCTATATTAGGTTAAGACAAAACATAAATTAAAAACAGGTGATTAATTATCATTGCATAACCTTGATATAGACAAATAATTTAGAATTTAAATAAAGAAATAAACCACTCTTCATGACCTCAGGTGATAAATTCTAGTTTAGAAAATGTGTCTTTAAATTATTATAATTTTATTTGTAGAAAACCAACAACAACTCAACATAATTCTTAGACAATGGATGATACACAACGCCGCTACAGTTTAGATCTTGATCCGGCATTTGAACGCTTTGTGCTGAGTAAAATCAAAAGTGAGCACAAAACCCCAGCAAAGTCACCATGTGACTCGAGGAATTTGCATGTGAAAGACACGACACACAAGCTATTATCTCCGAAAATTGACATCACAAATTATGACGTACATTCTCCACATACTCCTCAAGAAGAACAACAATTTAAACAACAAAGGTCGACAATGATTCTATCCAGCTGTAGATCAGCTAAATGTGAAGAAAAATACACACCGAATATTGACCCAACAAAATTGCATCCATTTGCTGTTGGAGATGGTGGTAACTTCAGAACACCATCGCCAAGAACTCCTCTCGGTTTGCCAAATATATGGAAACCTCTGCCAAGTTATCGTCTGCGACGACTCCGTCATCATTTGCATGCCCATAAACCACCACAATTTTGACAAGAAATAATAATGGAATGTAATTGACTTAAGGAGAAAGACAGGAATAAATTTTAAAAATAAATAAAATGATTTAAAACATTAAGAAGCTGGGTGTCTTGAAACACTATTTTTTGTCCTGGGAAAGTGGTAGAAAGACACATTGGCCTTCTTAAAACGAGAAATAACTTTAAATTTTCTCAGAGAAGACCAAAAGATCCCCTATAAGAAGATTTATTAGTCTTCTATAAGAAGACTAATTATCTTCTTTAATACATAAAAGACTGGATAAAATTCATATTTTTGTTGAATGTTGCGATTAGTCAATAGATGGCCAACTACATGACAAATGCATTGGAAATATTACAGAAATATGTTATACCGAGATCACAGAATGATAGACATAGTCTTAAAAATCTATTCCAAAGCATCTTCTTGGTGAGGGTAGAGAATAACTGAATGACCTAGAATCAACGTACAGCGAAATTTTGAAATCTTGCACGAGGGCTAGTCTTGGTGCGTAGGCCTGTTATAAGGCTGGATTTTTAGAAATCGGTACTAATGGGGTACGAAAACAAGTTAAAAAGTATCAGTCGGTATTGCCGCCAGAGATATACCTCAGCCTATGTTCGATTATCTAAATATATTTTGACTAGTGATAAGGTTATTCAAACGTTTGACCCTCTATGGAGCAGATCCCGAAGGAATGGGCCAATATTGCACATTTCCTATCGGACCCCAAAGTCTAAATGGAATCGGATGTTAATTTGGCGATTTATGAGCTTCATGGGTACTCAAAATTTCAATATTTTGTGGGGGAGGTACTTGATGGAGTGGACCGATATTGTCCATTTTCACACCTGCCCTAGCACTGACGCAAATATTAGGATTCGCAAAGTTGGAGCAAATTCGGATTATCCTTTCTCTTTCTCTTTCTGTGCAAAGAATATAGTTTTTGAATATTTCGACCTTTTGTGGGGGAGGTACCAGAAGGAGTAGACCGATATTGTTCATCTTAACACCAGACCTTGGGTTAATATAAATATTGGGATGTGTGAAATTTGAAGACAATCGGACTCTTACATCACACTTTATGAGAGTTGTAATTATTTAAAATTTTGACCCTTTGTGGGGGAGGTACCAGAAGGAGTGGGCCGATGTTGTCCATTTTCACACCAGACATAGCACTGACGCAAATATTAGGATTTGCAAAGTTGGAGCAAAATCGGATTATCCTCTCTATTCCTGTGCAAAAAATATATTTTTTGAAAATTTCGACCTTTTGTGGGGGAGGTACCAGAAGGATTGAACCGATATTGCCCATCTCCGAACTCGATCTAAGTTTGACAAAAATATTACGTTGTAGCCAATTTGGACCAAATCGGATACTCCCTTCGAGAGTTATCGTGCGCACCAGCCAGACAGACAGACGGACGTACGGACGGACATCGCTAGATCGACTCCAAATGTTCTGAAACGGATTTGGTCCAAAGAGACCTAGGGCCTAAAACCGTTATTTCGACTAGGCACGTTTTGGCCGTATCAAATGATATATACCCTCTGTAGCCATATGGCTGAGGGTAAATTTACTACAAATGTACTACTTTGTATTGGACAAACGGTATGAGCTAGAATTTGGAAGAGTCATTGATGGAGTGCAGGATTGATGCCCCAAAGGGTTTTTAAAATTCGAACTTTAAGGTTACGAAAAGTTATGCAATTGCTACGAACCTTAAAAAATGGTAAAATTTGGTATTATGTAACCAGATAGAGCTATAAACTTGAAATTTGTGAAACATGAGAATCAGGTTGGAAATTATGTTTGGTATATGAAGGTAGTTTTGAGAATGTGTATTAAGTGTGGGAACTGTACTAAATTTGGAACAGTGTTTTAGGGTAAACATATGGTAATTTTGAGAATGTGTGCAAAGTGTGCGAACTTAACTAAATGGTACTAAATTTGGAACAGTTTTTTTTTGGGTAAACAGATAAAGCTGGAATTTTGAAAATTTTGTATTGGGGTACCTATTGGTGGTAGGAAAGGTGTACTACAGGTACACGAAAAGTACTAATTAGTACTATATTTGGTACAATTTGGTGTTGAGTGAATAGGTAGTGCTTGAAATCGTATGTGTAGTCTGGACATATGGGGTTGGTTTCGAAATGTAAAATTGTACGAAAAGTAGTGAATTGTACCAAATTTGCTATTGGGTGAAGGGATAGGACTGGAATCCTCAAATTTGATATTGAAGTATCTGTTGGTATTTGGAATTGAGATATGGTTGGATATGGAGTTGGTACCATTTGGTATTATGTGAAATTTGATATGAGAATCAAGGTTGGAAAGTAAGTTTGATATATGAGAGTGGCTTCGGAATTGTGTACTAATTATGCGAACTGTACTAAATGGTACTAAATTAGAAACCGTTTTTTAGGGTAAACAGACGAAGCTGGAATTTTAAAATTTTGTATTGGGCTCCCTGTTGGTGGTTTTGGAAATATGTACTACAATTGCATGAAAAGTACTAAATAATACTATATTTGGTACAATTTGGTATTGAGTGAATATATAGTGCTTGAAATCAGTATAATTTGGCTATTCATGTTTATAGCCTGGACATATGGAGGTGGTTTCGGAAATGTGTACCATAATTGTACGAAAAGTACTAAATGGTACCACATTTGGTATAGGGTGAAGGGATATTGCTGGAATCATCAAATTTGATATTGAGGTCTCTGCTGGAATCTGGAAATTGAGATATGGTTGGCTATAGAGGTGGTTTTGAAAATGTGTACTACAATTGTTCGAAAAGTGCTAAGTGGTACTAATTGGGGTAGAGATAGAATCCTGAAATTTGATATTAAGGACTTTGTTGGTACCTTGAATTTAGAAATGTTTGGATAGGATATGGAGTTGGTTTTGAAAGTGTTTACTACATGTGCACGAAATGTACTTAAAAGTACTATATTTGGTGCAATTGAACAGATAGTACTTGCAGTCTGAAATTTGGTATTAGGGTCGGTGGTCGTGTTTAGCCTGGAGATATGTGTAAAATAACTGTTCAAAAAGCACTGAATGGTAACAAATTTGGTATTGGGTGAGAGGATAGGACTGGAATCATTAAACTTGATATTGAGGTCTCTGTTGGTATTGGGTGAAGAGATTGAGCTGGAATCCTTGAGATATGATTGGTTGAGATATGGAGTTGGTTTTGAAAATGTGTACCATAATTGCACGAAAAGTGCTAAATAGTACTAAATAAGGTATTTGGTTATGATACAGAGCCGGAATCCTGAAATTTGATATGGACATCACTATTGGAGCCTGTGTTTGAGAGAAGGAGCTGGTTTTTGATATGCTTACTATAATTTTACTAAATGGTAATAAATTTGGTAATGTCTGAATGGATAGAGCTGGAATCCTGAAATTCGATATTAAGGTCGCTGTTGGTATCTGTGGTTGAGATCTTGAACAATTGTTCGAAAATTACTAATTGGTACTAGTTTTGGATCACTGTTGGTGTGTAGGATGGGAAAATGAATGTTGTTTGGATCTGTTACTAAATTGGTAGCGGGTGAAGGGATAGAGCTGAAATTCTGAATTTCGATATTGAGGTCAGCATTACTTTCTAGAGACCACATATGGAGACGTTGAAATATTTTTGGACAGAAAAATTGGATGTAAGTCCATCCATGTGCAATGGTTTTACTAATATCCTCCTCGATAAACTTGAAAATGAAAGATTTTGAAGACTTTTTGGTGTAAAAGAAAAATATTTTCCTATAATTCTTTCCAAAAACGGAAAAAAATTATATAATATATAAAACCTTGAAAGTCTGAAGATTTAGTACGACATATGAAGTATAGACTGTCAAACTGAACAAATTTTCCATTTTGAAGGCGTAAAAAGACCTAACTTCTCTCTGACGAAGTAGCGAGAACTTACTAGTATACCATAAGACTGAGGGCACAGATATACAAGTTTAACGTTCTGTTGGTCCATAGAAAAATATTTAAAAAAATAGTTTGCTCTTAAAGACAATAATTTTTCATTTTGTCAAAGTACCGGAACAAAGCTATTGTTGTGTTGAACAGTTATATGTCTTGTTATGTATTTCGAATATTCCCTTCCATTTGTTATCATTCTATTTTACTTTCATTTATCTCTTCCAGTATTCATCGAGAAGCTCTTGCGTTCAACTGAAGTCCAGAGCATTTACGTTTTGGCCCGTCCCAAATCTGGCAAAGATGCCAGTGAAAGATTTGCCCAGATTTTCAAAGAGCCTGTGAGTATTTTGATATAATTTTCCAATTTTATTTTTAAATTTGATATTTCTTCATCGCTGAAGGTTTTCGAGAAATTACATGCTGCCCGTCCAAATTCACTGAAATACATTAAGACCATTGCCGGAGACTGTACCCTACCCAATTTGGGTATATCCCACGAAGATCGTCAGGAGTTGATCGAAAATGTTGATGTTGTGATACACAGTGCCGCCACTGTTCGTTTCAATGAACCCTTGAGCAATGCCACCCAAATCAATGTTGAGGCAACAATTGATTTGCTCAAATTGGCTAAGGAGATGAAGCACTTGAAGGTGAGTGTGAGAGGAAAATTTGAAGATATCGGTGATAGAGAATGGTGATGTTTTCCTGGGGGTGGCTTAAATTGAATTGACGAAGTGAGGGAAGAAAGGAGAAATTTGAGGATTTTTCTGATAGCGACGTAGAAATGGCCGGAAAGTTTAAGCCAAATATTTCAATCTACCGTTTTTATACCCTCCACCATGGAATAGAGGGTCTATTAAGTTTGTCATTCCTCCTGTAACACCACGAAATATATATTTTAGATCCCACAAGGTATATATATTCTTGATCAGCATAAAATTCTCTGTCGATTTAGCGTTGTCGGTCCGTCTATCCGTCTGTGGAAATCACTCTAGCTACCGAACGAAATAAAGCAGGTTGATAAAATTTGACTCAAATGTGTTATTATGTCTGCTTGACTTTTGACATTGCTAATGGGCCATGCACGTTTGGGCATAGCCCCCATACAACGGTACCTCCCGATATTCGGTATTTTGATGATTTTACCGATAGTATTCACCGGAATTGTTTCAAATTTGGTATTTGAAGTTCGTAATTGATACTACAGCCTAAGGCAGAAAATGAGCCATGTAGGTCCACGTCTTCGTATAGCACCCATATAACGGTAGCTCCCGATATTCGGTATTTTAATGATTTTAAAGACATTATTCACCGGAATTGTTTCAAATTTCGCATTTGAAGTTCGAAATGGATACTACAGCCTATGATAGAAAATTGTCTGTGGGGGTTCACGTCTTCGTATAGCCCCCACATAACGGTACCTCCCGATATTCGGTATTTTGATGATTTTAACGACATTATTCAACGGAATTGTTTCAAATTTGGTATTTTAAGTTCGTAATGGATACTTCAGCCTAAGACAGAAAATTGTCTGTACAGGTCTACGTCTTTGTATATCCCCCATATAACGGTACCTCCCTATTTTCGGTATTTTGGTGACTTAAGCGACATTATTCACCAGAAAGGTTTCAAATTTGGTATTTGAAGTTCGTAATGGGTACTACAGGCTAAGACAGAAAATTGTCTATGCCGGTCCACGTCTTCGTATAGCCCCTATATAACGATACGTCCGTATATTCGGAATTTTGATGATTTTAGTTACATTATTCACCGATTTTTTTTATTTAAGTTTCGCATTTGAATGCTGTAATGGTTTATGACAAAAGTTGCCAATGCTGGTCCACGTTGTCGTATAAACCCTAAAATAACGGCTACATTCGGTATTTTTAATATATTAACAGAATTTTTAACGGATTTTATTTTATTTATTTTTTTTTTTTTTTGAAAATTGCCAAATTCGTTCCAAATTGTGGAGGATATTCAAAGATCGGCCCGGGCGAACTTACAGCTTTTTTTATTTTAGATTTGGTATTTTCTTAGTTTTAAAGGGAGGATCTTCACCAAAAAATGTTTTTTTTCTGGTAGTCAGTGGACAATCTTTCAAGAAAGTCCTTCCTTCATTTTCACATCGAGGTAAAAAAACTTCTCGAGTCGGCTGAAATTATCCTACATCGACCACCATGGTAGAGTGTATAAAAATACCCCAGTATGAAACGCACAACTCTCATCAAACGTGTGGTCATTTATTTTTAGATAATTTCGGTTCACATAAACATGTTTTTATAGCCATTAAACACTTAAAAATTTAAAAAAAAATCTTAAATTAAGTGATTTACATCACATCGTTGAAAGATTTGTTTTTATTCGAAACAACTTCCGCATAAAAACCGGTTTGAACGTCACATGCTTTAAAGCACGCGACAAAAGCTACCCATCAATTTGGCGGAGTCGCACGTCTGGCCACTACCAGTTCGCAGTCGCTTGGAAATGTGGGTTTTCGGGTTACTTAAAGCGAGCCAAGTCAAAACATGTGTGTGTGCTAACAAAATCAGCCGGGCAAGTTAGATGCGACCAACAAACAGCTGCAGTACATTGACTACGGACCGACCAACCGATAGACTACATTACAAATTTACTAACATTGCAAGTATATTCATTCATACTTACCTAGTATTTAAAATTAAAACTATACCAGTTACGCTGCAAAACCGGCTGAATGAAAAAGAAAATTCGAAAAGACAATAACGTATCACGTAACGCAATATTTTTCCTCGGCAAAGAAAAAGTGGCCGTTGCAGACAAGTTGAAGCTGAAAAGCAGACAATTGTTTAATGTGTTTGAATGTCTGTTGTGTGAGTGTTTTTTTAAGATTACTTCATGATAGCCTTTTTCCAATGAGCTGCTGTGGACTTAGTTACACGTAGTCGATGGTGGCCAGTTTGACATAAAAAATATTAACTACAGATGCCGCAATGCAATGCCACTTGGATTTTATGGTAAAAATTGGTCGGAAAAGTTGTCAGACAAAAATTAGAATTTTTGCAGAAAAGATTGAATCTTCAAGTCAGCAGACTTGAAAAGTTTAGAAAATATATCTAAATTTTTTTTTATTAATTTTTACGAATTTTTATACCCAACACTATGTGTTAAGGGTACTATAAGTCTGATTGGGCCAAAGATTTGGTAAAACCTCGAAATATTGGTCCTTATTAATTTGCAATCACGCTACAGGTCGCAATTATGGCCCGATCCTTACGAAATTGAAAATGGAGATGGGGTTAGGGTCAGAACAGAAGCGTGTGGTTTTTGGTGATTATCGCAAAATATTTAGTGGTTGAAAAAGACCAAAAACAGAAAAAACCCTGATTTTGCTGTTTCGTCGATTGATTGATGTTTCGTCGATTGAGTTCAGGGCTGGTCAGAAGCCTTCTATTTTTTTTGGTCATCGGACAATAATTTGCGGATAAAAGTACCGCTGGACTTATTTTCATAATTCTCATCAATTTGGAATAGCCTCTTGACAGAAAAGGATAAAATCTAAGAAAATCGAGTAGAAGATCGGTGAAAAAGCTATGGGTAACATCTGGGCTGGGCTCTATGACATCATTTCAAAAACGACATCTTCCAAAATGGATTTGGACATAAGGGAGTTTCCAATATATTATAATGTTGTAGGGTATCACATGGTCGACCCCGCCCGACTATAGCCTTTGCTTACAATTTTATGGATATTTTTGGAATACTTTATTGCTTCGCGAAGATATTTTCCGGTCAATTTTTCGGGAGTTCGGGATAGGTGGATTGGAAACACATTTTAAAAAGATGTTCAGTCATAAAATAAATATTTATAATCACCATATAGTTCTGTCGAAGGTATATTTAACAAGGTCATTCGGGGGGTGTATTCAGTCCCTAGCCAAAAGTTGAAAATCTACAATAAAATCATATACCTATATCTGGCGTGATAGAAACTTCATAATATGGGAATCATGCTTTAGACGCATGCGAAATGGCCAATCTATTTGTTCTCGTAACTCCTCCACACAATATCAACATTCAAAATACTATAAAATTTATTTCAATTAAATTTTATTTCCGATTTTAATCAAAATGTATGCCATCCACAAAAAACTTTAAAAATAAAAGTATCAGGATTGAATATTGAGTCTACTTCCATTTTTTTAGTGAAATCGGTGTGTGAAAACTTTTCAAAACACCGTAAAGCTGTTGGTATCGATTTTCTGCTAAAGTGTTTGTTATCTATTGCGGGCTTTAAATACATAATTTAAAATAATTCTCTAAAAAATTTTGCTAAAATCACCAAAATACAAAAAAAAAAAAAAAAAACTGCAACAAAGTCAAAAGCCATAATTTTACATTTTTTTAAGGTAAGGTGATCTACTCTTTTGCATTTTTTGGTGCTAACCTTGCTTTCCAAAATACTCCAGACACAATAGTCCAACGGATTGGTATCCGGAGATTTTGGTGGCCATTGTGCGCTGGAAATGAAGTGAGGAACCTCATTTTGTAACCATTCTTGGGTGGCGCGTGCTGAGTGCAATGGGGCTGAGCCCTGTTGGAATATCCAAGGTCTGCGATAAAAATGTTTGCATGCCCAAGGCTTTAATACACCTTCCAGAGTATTTTCGCGATAATATTCGACATTTATTTTAATGCCACTCACGGTCGATTAATACTATCGGCTGTTATGGCGGCCCACACCATCACCATGGCCGGCGCTTGAGTTCTGGTGGCCAACCGAAGGTGCACATTTTTAGCTGATCTCTTTGGCAAGTAAACACGATCATTTTGTTTGTTTACAAACTGCTGGACACCGAATGTTTTCTCATCGCAGAAAACCAAATTCGACAGTTCACCACTTTCGGCCAAGCGAAGCAACTCTTTAGCTCTTTTGAATCCATTTTCTTTCTGTTGCGGTGTAAGTTCTTGCACTTTTTAGACTTTCAATAGCACCCGAGCTCATTTTGTAATATTTGCCGAATGGATATGGATATTGCGATATGTTCAGCTCATTAGCCATTTTTCGGCCACTGCGAAGCGGGTTTCGATCAAGTCGCTTTTTTACTTGGCGAACCATTTCTGCTGAAGTTGCTGTTTTCTTCCGTCCACTTCCCTGACGTCGTGCTACGCTACCAGTATCACGGTAAGGAGCGATGGTACGAGACACAAAAGATTTATCCCCAGCCTTTACTAAAGAAATCACACTATCACGCTTAAATTCCATTACGAATAACTTTTTGTTCTGCAAAATTCTCACCAAAATGCTTTGTTCCGCTTGTAGACAATATAATCAGCTGCCAATGGAATAATTTTGATAGCTGTCGGACGATTGGCTTAGAAATGACAGCAGTCTGAAATTGTCTTGATCAGCATAAATTCTATATCTATTTATTAGTGCCCGTCAGCTCTCTGGAAATCGCTCTATCTTCCGAACGAAATGTATTGGGTTATAACATTTTACTCAGATGTATTTTGGGTACGTAGAAGTTTTGGAATTTAAGATAGGCCATGTAGGTCCAGGTTTTGGTATAACCCCTTTTTGAAACCATACCTGCAGATTTAAGGTGGTTTGCTTCTTTAAGACAGATTGATGTATATAAGCAGTTTGTGTTGCCAGTATATATTCTTG